TGTGTGCATGTTAAGACTTAGTGAGAGTAAGTTTTGTGAATTTGAAGTTTGTTTTAATGAGTTTTTATTAACTTTGAATGAAATTGTTTGGGGGAAGGGGAGTGCTTTTCTTTTAGTTTGTGCAAATTGAATTGAATTTGTATGAGTTATATAGGCATATTTGTTTTTAGTTACGAAATCCAATTTTTTTTTTTATATTTGAAGGGTTTTTGGATAACTTTGTTGAATTTGAAGTGAATTGATGATAGAGTTTGTGTGCATGTTTTTAAGTAAGTTTTGTGAATTTGAAGTTCGTTTTAATGAGTTTTTGTTGTTTGATTTCTCACATGTGGAGTGAGTTAGAATGTAAGTTTGTATGAATGTAAACGTGGTGAGTTAACTTTTAATGCTTAATTTTGAGTTCAAGGTATGTTGAGTGAGTTAGAAATTTTGACGACTTCTAAATTAGTTTTGAGGAAAGACTACTTATTTTGTTAACATAAGTTTATTTGTTATTTGTTTTTTCAGGTTCGTTCGATTTCTCTATCAAAAGCTTTGGGGTTCTTAAAATAGGTTGTTATGGGACTTATTTTGATAAAATTTCATGAAGAACTCGATGATATGAGACTTCTTAGAATAGGTTGTTAAATTTTACTTTGTATTGACTTTTTGTACTCTTGTAAAACCAATGTTTGTTTAATATTATAAATTTTAAATTCATGTCATTTAGGTTGTTAAATCATTGAAAATAATAATATATTGAAAAAAAAAGAGCTTTGGCGAAGAAATATGGCTTTCGTCGCTGAAGTCTAACTTTGGTAACGAATGTAGATGTCGTTGCCAAAGCCAAGCTTCAACGACGAGATTTTCATTCGTCACCGAAGCAATCTTCGGCGATGAAATCAAGTTTTGTCGCTGAAACTTGGCTTTGGTGACGATAGGGATTTCGTCGCCGAAGCCTACCTTCTGCTACAAAATTCATATTTCATCGTCGAAACGCTCTCGTGGGGAAACGACGACGAACTTGGCGACGATGTTCGTCGTCGCCAAATCCTTAAATTATTGTAGTGAAAATTGTCCAAATTACACCACAAACACTCTCTTTTTGAGAGTTTTCACCTCTCGACTAAACATTTGAGAGTAGAAGCCGACAAATCCAGGAGGTGGATGATCGAACAATTCGTTGACATTCGACAGCCTAAGGTCTACGGAATCTAGGATAAGGTATTTATGTCAAAGCTCGACAAGTTTCATCATGGTAAAAGTTGAAGGGGGAAGCTCTATTATTTGCGGACCTGACATGGAAGACTGATCTATGAGTGACCATCAACAGGTCCATCAGGTTGAACCTCATCAATCTGAGAACAAACTTCGACATCAGAAGGAATTTGTACCCTAGACGACGAGCTACCCATACTTGTACAATGATGAAGAAAAGTATAAGCTATACCTCGGAAACGAAAATACCTAGAAGAGACGAGCATGACGTCACTCTACGTTAAGAAACCTTTGGATAGATGACGTCACTGTACATCAGCTCGATGATTCGATTCTCGTAACGTCTCAACCAACTGTAATCCACCAGACCCTTGACACGTACGGGATGCTTAGAGCTACTTTGTCAAGCCGCAGATCACCAAAGTGAGTGCCAATGTTGGAGGGGATTTATCGATTGCCACGTGTCAACATCAAAGATCATCAATTGCTAGAATGATCAAGAGAATCAAAGAAGAAGATTCTACAAAGCAAGTTCTTTTAGCTCAACATCTGGAAGCCAAGCCGAGCTAAATTCTACATATTGGCTGACCTATGTCAAGTACGAGCTAAAGTTAACGAGTAACACGGGCACACAGACGACAGACATGTCCATCGACATGACAGTTCGGTCCTAGGTTATTGAAAGTTCTGTCGGGAGCTCGCCTGTATAAATAGAGAGCCTTATTTCTCATATAAGGTATGCGGAATATATTTCCTATCAAATATAGATCGGATTGTGTACTGACTGGAGTGTTGGCGTGCTAACTCTGTTTTGTAGATCCTTCATACTTCGGTGCACGTAGTAAGAACTTTGCAGATTCGACATTGATCAACTTTACGATCAAACAGAACCATTCATTTTTATCTCATTTCTTTCAATCACAAGTTTAGCATGACACTTCGCTCATAATTTATAATTTTTTTTTTGAAATGTAGTCAGAAAATTGTATCAAAGGCTCCTAGTGTGTATAAAATTTATGTTAATATTTGGTAAATGAGACCAAACTAAACACTTTTTAAAGCACAAAGACCAAAACGAAGATACACGGACAAAATGAAGAAAAGTTAAAAGTATAGTAACCAAAATAGACGATTTGAAAGTCCAACAAATTGAGCCTCACCAGTCTCTTGCCTTTCAAGCAAGGGGTGTGTAATTACAAAATCTGGTATGTGCCATTTTTTTGATATCCGTGAGTGTCTGAGCTAGCTTGTGTGCACCTCTATTAATCTCACGGGACAACCGCCTGACCCTACTACATTTGGTTGCCAAGATAACTCGTAGGATATTAAATCCTAAGTAGGTGGTCACCATAGTTTGAACTCATTCTCTCTAAATCGTTTGATATTTACATTGGCCTTTGTTAACTACTAAAAAGGATCTCAGAAGACGAGTTGATTTCACATGATGAAAATTTACATTTTCTAATCACAATTTCAACACATTACACTCAAATAAGATATGATATCTTGAACTATTCTCATATTGTACCATAGAATTTTTGTTGGGTACAAATTATATGCTATAATTTTATAAATACAAATAAAAATGGACATCCTAAAAATACAATAATCAAAATACATAAAATCTACAAATATAAAATTGAAATTAGAAATTAGAAAGATCAAAGAAGAATAAAGCTAAAAGTGTAGCTTACTAAAGCATGATATAAACCTAATTTTAACTATAGCAATAAAATTTTGTTTTTTTATTTATTTGAAAGACTAACAGTCAAATTATTGTTAGAAATAATTACTTTTTAAGTTTAAATACTATTTTAGTTGGTTATTAGTACTTTTGACTTGGTTTAGTTGTGTACCTTGAAAACGTCCATTTTGGTTATTGTATTTTAAATTTTTGTTTATTTTAATTTTTGTACTCTTAAAACATCCTTTTTGGTCCCTGTAGTTTTTAAAGAAGGATCATTTTGACTTTTCACTTTTATTTTTATCTCATTTCTTCCAATCATGACTTTATAAAGATTATGTACTAAAATAAACAAACCTTGAAAGTACAGTAATTAAAATAGACCATCATGAACCAAAATGAATCAAATCCGAGAATACAGAGACAAAAATAGTATTCAAAATTTTGCTTTTATAAAAAATAAGGTTAGATTCAACATAAATGGATAAAAATATGATACAATTTAAAATTTGAAGTTACCAATAAATATATTTTAAGAAAAGAAAATTAAGATAAAAAACTTAAAAGAGAGAGAGAGAGTTTGTTACTCTCTCACAAGAGATTCGGAGGAAATTAGTTTTTGTGATTTTAGATATTGTTTATTTTAAGGAGTGTGATGTAAAGTTTGTGGACTTTATTTTTAAAAAATAAAAATATAATTAAAAAAAAGAAAGAAAGAAAGCTTGTGGAACTAAAATTAGCACGTGTGCCAAATATTGTGTCACATGTCAAATTGACATGTGGAGTTTCCAAACCCGCACGTGCTCTATTTGTTGGTCTGATTTTATTTGTATTTCCACTTTTTTTTTTTCTCTTTTCTAAAAAAAAACTCTCCCTCCTCAAGGTTTCTCGGCTCTAATTACTTAACTGATTTTTTTATAAATCTTCTTTAGTTCAAATCCTTCGTAAATTTTCCTATTCTAGTTTATAAAATCTTAAAATATCTTCTAAATCTCAATAATTTTCAAATATATTTATAATTTTCCTTTTGAATCCTAAACTTTTTAAAAATTAACTAATTTGAGTCTCACTATTCGATTTTTTTTGGTCGAATATAGATTCTTAAATCAGTTGAGTTATACTCAGACATGTTTTTTCATTAATTGTTTAACAACCTAAACTTATGAACATCCCTATTAACGTGTTAATATTAACAAAGATTGAGGTAATATAAGTTAAGTAGATTCTCGAATGAACATTAAATAGGAACATAATAAGGATAAAAATTGAAATAGTTTTTACCAACATGAACATAATTCAATAGATAACATGAAAAGAGTAGATGAACATGTAAAATACCTCGATATGAACATAATCGGATAACCAAAAACTGACTTATAAATATATTTATTGACATGCTAACCTGAAAATATATTGAAATTATATAAGTAAACTAGATTTCAAAACGAATATTAAGTAAAAAAATATTAAGTAAAAAAAATACGTAAAGACAGGAGAAGGATAAGAACACCAAAATAGTTTTTGTCAATATAATCATAACTCGATAAAGTATCTGCTTTTTCACTTAAAAGTTGGAGGATTTAAATTTTCAAAATGAACAAAAGTAAAATTTTTAAAAATTCTTTTGACAGTAAAATAGATATTTTAAAAGTTAAAATTACACGGGTGAGGGTGGTGAAAAAACTTAGAACTTTTTTTTGGGTCTTTTAATTTATAAAAAGTGAAATTTGTGTTACACGTGGTGCACAGTTGGTTGTTTGGTTTCTGATCTCTCTGTGAATCTTTATTTACGTAAAGAAAAAAAGAGGAAAAAAAGGAAAAAAGAGGAAGAAGAAGGAGGAGAAGATGAGGAAGAAGAAGAAGAAGAAGATTTTAGGAAGCTATTTTAAGAAATATTACACCTAACAGAATTTACGCTAATTTCTATCTTCCTTCCAAAAATTTGTTTCTGTTTCGATTTTGTAGTATTCTTTGTTTTCTTCTCTTCAATGTCATTCAAATTCCTCCATTTTCCAGTTGAAGTTAGAGAGAGAGAGAGAGCTCCATTTTTTTCACTGCAACTGAAGCTCAATTCCTTTGATTCATTGATTTTTCTTGTGTTTATCAACTCTTAATTTGAAGGAATTTTGAGATAGATAATGTTGTAAGTATCGAACACTGTGTGGATTGCAGTTCATGGAGGAGTACGGCGAGCAGAGAACTCCAACTTCAACCCCTGATTTTGCCGGGAATGAGGCTGTACCGGATTCAGATGATAAACGAGCTTCCAAGCGAGGGAGGCCCAAGATTAACGCCGCTAGGTTTCGTACTACCACTCCTCCTTTGGCTTCGCCGATTGTTGGATCTCCATGCCTCACCATTCCGCCCGGAATCAGCCCTAATCTGCTCTTCGACTCCCCCATTATGCTGTTCAATACACAGGTACCATTTCCGATTTTGCTTGTTGCTCAGAATTTTTTTTGCAGTGATTCATGGTTTAACTGGGGGATTAGTTTCGATTTTCATGCATCTCTGTTCTCTGTTTTTGTTTTGTGTATATCCATTATCCAATCCGGGTTATGTTTTTAGTTTTCTCTCGAATCATAATGAAGAGTTCAATTCTTTTTCTTCTTCCACTTGGTTTTCTTCTGTTCTGTCTTGCACCGATCTCTTGCGCTGATTTTGATTCTAGGAGTAAATCGTAACCATAGAGAAGCCATGGAGGTTTCTACTTTCTTTATTTTCCTCCTAGAGTGTTGCTTCATTGTCGGAGATGGATGTTTACAGTATTGATTCTTCAAATTTAAATAATAATTCAACGAACATTTGTATTGAAATCCAAATAGTCATACAATCGGAAGCATTAGATTTCTGAATAAATCCCATGTCTTTCTGGACCAATGGGCTCTTACTGGAAACTGAGAAGTCAATTGTTGATGTTTGTAACATGTATGAGTTTTGGTTTCTTGTTGATCAGTCTGGCATGGTTTTTCCCTAAGATTAAAATAGAGTTGTAGTTTAATATTGATTCTCTCCATCTTCAGATCAGAGAATACCAGGTGGAACAAATAGAAACAGACGTAGTTGAAAACTCCTTTTATTGCCAGATAAACTACTGCCTATTGTTTATTTACCAACATCCATATCTTAGAAACTTACGGTGGAGTTTATCAAACTGCATGTAACAATGCAAAGGGACACTGTTTGTCACGTGTGACATTACCACAAGGAACATATACATTGCTGTGAATTTTATTAGTTTTAGTTTTTTTTTTACTTTTAAATTCCTTCAATAATTTTTTCCCCTACTTGGTATGTTATCTCAGGATGTGCCATCTCCAACCACTGGCTCTTTTCCCATAGTTCCAGTAAAAGATGAGTATTCATTGTTGAATGCTGTAATGCCTGAAGATGGAAGTATCCACGGCAGTGAGGATTCCTACTTCAGGTTCACCCCTCAGGCGGACCATGATTCTCTTCAAGGTCTTTTGAGACTTGAAAATCAGGTAATGGGATGCTAATATTTCTTTTATGTTTGTGTAGTAAGTAGTAACTCTGCCCACAATTTCTGTGAATGTGCGAGGGATAAGGCATGCTTGCTCTCATGGTAATACAAAGAACAAGACAACTTCCACAATTCTTTTCTGATGGTGTTAAGAATTAGTACAAACATGTGTTAGTTTTATTGTTATTGTTTACAAATTTTAGGAGTTGTGATGGGTGGTTAATTTTATAGTTGGTAGTTAATTAAGTAGTGGAAGAGTGAATGTAAGTTGGGGAGAGCTTGTAAGCTCATAGTTTAGTGGCTGAGTGGTGTTGGTAAGATAGACTTTGAAGGATTGTGGTTTAATTGGTGGGTTAGTGGTGGTTATTTATTTTTCTATAAATATGTGTAAACAGTTCTCATTTCAGTGAATAGAAGTTCTTCTTCTATACATTTCTCTCTTGCTCCCATTTTGTTGTTCTCTTCTTTTTTTTGCTACAACGTACCAGAGTGTCCAAGTTCTTCATCCTATGTTTGAGTTTAGTGCTCAGTAAGAATGAGCAATGTTTATGTATACTAGCTTACTAGTGATAATTATAACTATTGGTGGCTATATATGAAAGTTTTTCTATAAGGACAAGATCTGTGAGTTCTTTATCACTAGTTATGATAGTGTAATTCTAGATGTTACTCTACAAAATGCTGAGATGCGAAGGAAGTGGAAGATCAAATGTGACAGCTTTATTATTATTATTATTTTATATTCGTGAATGTCTGGGCCAGCTTATGTGCATCTCGACTAATTTTACCGAACAACTGTCTGATCTTACTACATTTGGTTGCTTAGGAAACTCATAGGATATTAATCCTAGGTAGGTGACCACCATGGTTTGAACCCATCCCTCTAAATTCTTTAGAATTTTACCTTGGCTCATTTGGACAAATATGACAGCATTATTTGCTTTGCGAACTTCGATTGGTAAGGAGTTTATTGAGCATGTTCATGATGTATATTCTCCAAAGCAAGTGTGGGATACACTTTAAATGTTGTTCACTAAAAAGAACATGACAATGTTGTAGTATTTGGAGAACGAACTTGCTAGGACAACTCTGGGTAATTTGTTGGTTTCATAATATTTTCTGAAAATTAAAACTTTGTGTTATGAAATTTCAGAAGTGGACAAGGAAGAACCCATTAGTGAAGTGATGCTCATTTACGTCAATATCTTATTTGTGGATTGCAAAAAGAGTTTATGTCATTTATTTCTTCAATACAAGGTTGAGTAAATCAACATTCTATCAAGAAACCTTGGTGACAACAAGCAGTTTTCCCTCGAGGTAGAAGGTATTTTTTATACAGAAGACAAAGTAGAAAGAAGTTATGTTTCCAAATGTTCATTAGATAACAACAAGCATTCTGAAAACGAAAGGTAGTCCAAAGGTCGAAAGGATGTTTTAAGTGTGAAAAGCTGGGACGTATCAAAAGTGATTGTCGGGTGAAGCTAGTGTGTAGTCGATGTGGGAAATTAGGTCATATTAAACAAAATTGTCGAAGGAATCTTAAAGAAGCAGAAGCAAGTGTTGTATACGAAATTAACAAGCCTGAAAAACTCAATTGGGAACAATGCTTATCAATTGAAGCTATTGATCAACGTCAACCCATTAGTTGGTGTGCTTATGATTTTATTGATTATAGTGAGGATTGGACTATTTGTTCTAGTTGTTCTCGTCATATTATTGGAGATGTTCTCTTTTCTTTAATGTTTGTACGCATCATGGAAGAAAAGTCATTGCGATAGTTGATAATTCCAAAAGGACATGTTAATGTTGGGGATGATGCATCAAATATTGGTGATGTTCCTTGTAAAGAAGTTTTCGATGTTCAAAGTTTGAAGAAGAATTTTGTTCCTGAAGAGTTATTGTGATAGTCGATAATTCCAGAAGAAAGAATTTTGTTCCTGAAGAGTTATTGTAATAGTCGATAATTCTTCGAGTTATTGTAATAGTCGATAATTCCAGAAGAAGGACATGTTAATGTTGAGAATGATGTATCAAATATTGGTGATGTTTCTTGTAAAGATGTCTGTGATGTTCCAAGTTTGAAGAGGAATTTTGTTTATGTCTCTCACGTTGTTGATGCTAGGAATTTTTTTAGAAATAAATTGAATTTTTTTTTTTAGATAAGAAACATCTCTGTATTGATCAAAAAAGAGAGAAACAAACTAGCAGCTGGGGTAGAGGGAACCCCACCAAACAAACTAAACAACCGCTTCCCAATTGTTCAAAAACATGGAAAGGTTGTAGTCAGTGTTTTCGAGGTGCGCCCAGGCGCTCGCCTAAGGCGAGGGGCAAGGCGTTTTGGCCTGGACGCGCCTTGAACGGCGTCGAGGCGAGCGCCTTCAATCGGGYGCTCGCCTTTGTGCGCCTTGGCGCCATCGCCATAAGGTGAGGCGAGCGCCTCTTTGAAGCAAGGCGATTCTTTTTTTTTGTTATAATTTTAAAAAACCCACAAACGAAGACCTAAAAAGATGCAAACCCACACCCAAAAAAATCGAACTACCCACACGAAAGTCTTCTTCTTTCACCGCCGCTTCATCCTTTGCTGCTGCCATTGCTACCGCCTTTGCCCCCACTCATTGCACGATATGAAGCCATCATGCCTTCCTTCTCCTTCTTCGTAGACAATCAAAATATTTAGTTTCACCTATGAAGATGTATTTAGGGCGACGTAGGTGCTCGGAAAGGAAGAATTAGAGATGAAGAAGAAGAATCAGGAAAAAAGAATTAGAGATGAAGAAGAAGAGGAATTGGAAAAGTAGAAGTAGAAGAAGAATTGAAAAATATAATAAAAGATATGGGGATTTGATGCTTGGTTGARACTTTTCCTATTCCATTTACGTTTTCAAGGCATGCACATTAATTGCATGCAATTTTAYCTTGCCATCTGGAAGCAAAAGGGAAAGATGRCAATAATTTTTTTTTATTTAAGWTAATTTATGATTTAATTTTAGTATTCCACTTAACCACTAATTTTATTAATTTMTTTTTAAATTTATATTTTTAATTTTTCTTAATTATTTAAGTTAAAATTTATTTGCACCAAATATTTTCACCTAAAGTATTTTTGGTATTGATTTTTTGTATTGTTGACATTTACTATTTTGGTATTGATTTTTTAAGGTAATTTAAGCACTATATATATAATTTTTACTTATTTATTAAGGTGCACCTCGCTTCAATCGGGCGTCGCCTTTGTATCGCCTCTCGCCTCAAGGTGATTAAAGGGTTTGTCGCCTTGCGGTGCGCCTTGCGCCTCGAAAACACTGGTTGTAGTTACAAAAGAATTTACTATAAGTGATGCACCACCGATAAGTCGTGTGCTGTACATTCCTACAAAAAAAACCAAAAGCAGTTGACTTATCTTCAAACCTGCGAGAATTCCTTTCCAGCCATAGACTCCATAGGAGAGCCCTTGAAGCACACTCCCAAATAAACTTAGCCTTTTTAGGAAGAGTCCACCCACGAAGCACTTCAACCATCCAATCATCTATCAATTTTGGGAAGCAAATAGAAATTTCAAAGGTGTTTAAGAGGAGACACCGGTTCTTTTATGCAAAAGAACAATGCAGAAAAATGTGATCTATGTTCTCACTGTGAGTCAAACAAAAGGAGCAGACCGAAGGGGATAACACCCAATTCTTGCACTTTTTCTGTAGATTCTCATGAGTATTAAGGCTTCTACGAGCAAGAGACCAAAGGAAGACTTTGATCTTTTTTGGAACCTTGAAGTTCCATATTGCCGAGATGAGGGGTGATCTCAAAGAAGGGCTACAATCCACCAGCTTCAAACGGGCCGAGCGAGTAGAGAACTGACCATTTTTTCCAGGAGGCCATAAAACCCGATCCTCCCCCTCACCCAATCGCACCACATCGATAACTTGGATAAGATTTATCCAGTTTTCAAGCTCCCAATCAAAAAGACCTCTACGCAGGCCTAGATCCCAATCGTTCTCATTAGCATTCCAACACTCCATGACTGTGGCTTCCTTTTTTGTAGAGAGATTGAACATGTCAGGGAACCTCTTCTGGAGAGAGTCATTCCCAATCCAACTGTCCGACCAGAATTTAATACGATTCCATTTCCTCGTCTTGAACTTAAGGAATTTGGAAAAAAACGAGCTGTTCTTGAAAATATCGAACCACGGTCTTCCTTTGGCACAACCTTTAGTAGGAAGGGTATTCCACCCGTGAGGTTCTTTACCGTACATGCTAGCTATCACCTTCCTCCAAATCACATTGTCTTCTTGGGTGAATCTCCAAAGCCATTTAAGTAGTAAAATGTTGTTCTGTAAAGCCCCTATACCAAGACCTCCATAATGCAACGGAAGAGCGGTCTTTCCCCAATTCACCAGGTGAGTAATAGAGCCATTATTGCTATTTCCTTTCCAGAAGAAATCCCGAGACACATCTCAATTTCCTTTATAACCTTCGTAGGAGCCTTTAAAACCGAGAAGTAGTATAGGGGAAGACTTGTGATCACCGATTGCGCAAGAGTGAGTCTACCKCCTTTTGAAATGAAGAGGTTCTTCCATTTGTCTATCTYTTGCMTTATTTTTTCAATCAGAGGATCCCAAAAAGTTTTTTTCTTATAATTGCCACCCAAAGGAATTCCCAGATATGAAAAGGGAAGCCTTTCCACTTTACAGCCTAACATTCTAGCTTTGTCTTGAAGAACATTTTCTTCTACATGAATTCCTATAATAGTTGTTTTCGAAAGATTCAACGACAGCCCCGAAGCCTGTAGGAAAATGTCTAAGATCATCCACCATTTTTCCAACATGCCTATCTCATTTGGACAGAAAATCATCGTATCATCGGCRTATTGCAAGTGAGAGACTTCCACCTCCTCCYTACCAATGCCAAAGCCTTTGATCAGCCTTCTTTGACTACAAAAATGGACCATTCTACTGAAAGAATCACCAACTAAGGTGAAAAGGAAGGGGGAGAGAGGGTCCYCTTGCC